CCAAAAGGTTACATACTGTATGATCACATTTATATGACTCTTGAAGGGATAGCATGACAAACATGGAGCACACATGGAAGGAGGAAGTAGACAGGTCTACAAAAGGGCAACCTAAAAAAACGTTTGTGGCGATAGAGACCTTCTATATCTTGTCTGTATCAATGTCAACATCCTGGTAGTTACTGTACTATACACGGTGTTTTCATTGGAAGAAACTGGGTAAAGGGCATAAGACCTCTCTCTACTGTTTACTTTTACAACCAAGTGTGAATCTATAATTATCTCAAAATAAAATGGTTAGTTTCAACCCCAGCCTAGAGGTTATTAAGATTTTGTTCTGAATCATATGGGCATTCTGGGAATGGCCAGTTTTGCATGCTCAGTCTTGAGAATGGGTTGAAGGGGACAAAAGTGCAGGGAGGGAGCTTACTGCAATACTACTGGGCAACACCAGGGGGACTGAACCAGGTGGTAGCGATGGAAAGATGTGTTCAAATATATCCTAGGTGGTTTTATCACAACTGATTTCTCTGGAGTTTGCTTCACCTCTGCCACAGGTCTCACCATTCTGGTTGCAAAAAGTCATCCATCAATCAGGGTAACCTTGGTGCCAGACCTCTCTTCCTCCTGGTCTCCCCCCACCTCCAACTAATTCATTAAGGGATCGGTTGGGCACTCACTAGCTTTGCAATATGCTTAGGATCTGACCATCTTTTACTAGAGTAGAAAGCCTCACCTTTCTCCCTCGGAGTGGTTGGTGGTTTTAAACTACAGCCCAAGGTGTGACCACTACGCCACCAGGGTTCGCTAAATAGTATTCATAGATACCCCTGTGGCACAGAGATTAATCACTCAACTTGTCGCTAAAAGGTGGGTGCCTCAAACCTACCAGCTACTTCATGGGAGAAAAACCTTACAGTCTGCTTCCATAAAAATCAAGAATTTCCCCAAACACAAACCCATGGCCACCGCGTTGACTCCAACCCACAGCAATTGGGTCTCCTCTGTCTTACGGGTCACCATCAGTTGGACCGGCCTGGATGGCAAAGGGTTTGATTTGGGTCTCGGAGTATCCATCGAACACACTCGAACGCTCTGGTTGAGAAAAGGTCGAGGGTCAAAGAGGGAAAGAGCTGTGCCCACACCATTTGGTCTCTTCTTTTCCCAAATCTGAGGAGGCATTCCTCGGCACAACAGCTGCTGGCCCGGCGATGCTGCTCTCTTGTTTAATTATAAATCCTCCCCAGCATGGTTCTAATCCAGACACTTGTCTGGCTTCCATTAATAAAACCCCTAAGTCACATTGTCACATTAGTACCTAACGAGGCTTACCAATCACGGGGCAAGGCATTCATGAGTGGTTCAGGGTACATTGCCCGAGGGCCTCTGAGCCCAACACTCTACTCATCCACTATCTCAGAATAAGCATGTCGCATGCTGTCTTGGTCTATATGCAGCCTGGATTAACACCACTAGCTGTCCTGACTGGACGAGGGTCCCGCAGGGCAAGTCCCTGTAGTATCTTCAACTGTTATGACAGATTCCATCACCCTTCCCTAGTACTTGCAGGCTCCTATGAAATGCATTTGGCCTGTGCTCTGATGCCAATATAATCAGCCCCCGCCATAAGTTATATCAGAAGGACATTTGAAAATATGAAGTGGTGATGAAAACCAATGGTAACCAGTAGGAAGAGATTTATGGGAGGGTTTCTTTGACCTCTTCTCCCCAGGAGTAATGACCATCATCCAGTGGTATCCTGCAACCTGTTTTGGTGTGAGCTGGATCAATCCCGAAAAACACACTGCTCGCTCACTGGCATCCAAAATGCCGTAAAGTGGAAAGCGCATGCAAACTAAAAAACAGATTTCTTTCCCTTCTGGTTCAGATATCTGCCCATAAATACTGGCACACGCCTAGGACTGGCGTGTGTCAGTGGGAAGAATACAGACAAAATTCATCTCAATTATCATAAACTAGAAAGTTATGGTAACCAGTCTTTCAAATAAATTGCCATGTGTCAAATTTGGCATAAACGCGGGTCCTCATGAATAATTCACACGGAGGACATTAATTATTCATCCCTCTCCCTATTGGAATGCTAGGGAACCAGGGATGGCTATCTGAGCGTCTCTT